CCTGATGGGATGCACCGTTGCCATTTGCTGTACATCTCCTTTGCATTTTTTATCAGATTTTGAAGGTGACTAAGCATGAAATCGTATGCTTCATGATTTCCAGTTGGATCTACTGCTTCGACTCTATCACTCTCAGCTTCAGCAACCTGCAGTGCCGTGGACAGTTCAACATCCCCATATCTAGTCCATAACGTTTCATGAAGAACTTTCACTTCATCCAGTTTTAACTTACAGTCGCTTGCAGTCTTCTCGAGGTCGTCTTTTTGCTGTTCTGTTAATTAAGCTGACTGGTCTGTATCCAGATTTGCCTCTATTTCTGCAATCATGCCTGCTTCAAGATCATCATTTACTTCCATGACTTTCTCTGCTTGTATTGTGAGTTTATTTAAACTGTCTTGAAGATCCATCTCTGTCATGTTTTTACAAATTTGGATATAGTGTTGGCTAGACGTGTGAATGCCCTTTTTTCCACTGTCCTTTTTGCTTTCAGTTGTTCGAGTGACTTTCCTACCGCCTGTGTGGCCATTCTTCACAGTTATTCTTCAAATTGAATATATTATCTTCTCACTTGCCTTTTTTGAGTCAGACAGGTTTCCAGTTTTTCTGGTTTCCCGTTTTTCACTGTCCAGTTTTTCACTGGTCCCGGTTTTTCACTGTCAAGCTATTCTCTTATGCACAAGTTTTCCCGCTTGAAAGGAAGACACATCATCAAGGGAGTTTTAACTGGATTCCACTCATCCATTTATTGCATCATAAATGCAGCAGAAAGGCAGGTAAAAAGTATAACGGTGGAAAGTTGAAAGGTGAAAAACCTTCAAAATAAACAAAAATATATGAAAAAAGATATATAAAAAGATATGTAATTCAATTGCAAATAAACATATACATACAAACATTTGTGAATTTTGTCTGATTTTTCACACAGTATTTTCAAGTATTATACTGAATTATCGCTTGTTAAAGCACAATCAACAGTACAGTTTAATATACTGAACTTAAATATTTAGTTTTAAGACACATAAATGAAATGCGATTAATTTTGCTACTGCAGCAATCAGCTTATGTGCACGTGATCTGCTCATGCATGCATATGAATCACGGAGGAAAATTAACATCTTAACGTCAGTCAGATAGCACTCAAATGATGATTAAAATAACCAAAACTATACATTTCTGCTTTATAACATCTTCTAGTTTGCAAATAACTATTTGTATCTTCAAGTAATTAAGCAGCGGGCAGATAAGCACTGTAGGAGCAACTTTTTCCTCTGTGCCGAACTTGAACTCAGATGCTGCTTCACGGTTGATTTGCCCTCAAATACTGACATGACAGTCACGATTTTCATGCAATAACCAAAGTAAAGTTCTCACCGGCTGCCACTCCGGGACTTGATGATGGTTTTTTAACTGTTGTGCACTTTCTTTTGCTCAATTTTGGCGGAGATTCGGCTTTGGCGGAGGTTTCGTTTTGGCGGAGATTCTGTTCTGGTTAGGTTTCAGTTTCCTTTTTTCTTACGTGAATGCCGAACTACTGCATGTCCTTCCGCCTCTCCCTCCGACTGGCGGATGGATTTTTTTTTTTCTCCTTCTATATTAGTTTGACTTGACAATATCAAACTGAATTTAAAACATTCATCTGTAAAATAATTAATTACAGTAAGGTACATCACACCTGCACATCTCTCACTCTGATATTACAAATCAATAGCATTTCTGAGGCAAGTCGGAGACTGAGACTAATTTAAATGACACAATGACATTGCTCATGCTAGTGGTGTTGATTAAACAGTTGCCATTGAAAACAAATTTTAAAAGGTTAAATAACAAAGATTAAAAACATTATTGTGAACTAATAATCAGCATTGATTCAGAAAGATTCAAAGCAGACCAATATACAACTGAATCTGTGTTTACAGCAAACAATCAAATATGTCTCTTACCGGTTAATTTTTCTACAACTGTGATGATCTTAGTTAGATCAGGATTTTGATGTGATGAAATGTCACCCCTGTATGCATTTCAGTGAGCAATGAGACTCCTCTGAGGATTGTTCTCCTGGGGAAAAGCGCATCAGAGAACAGTGTTGTGGGAAACTTGATCTTGGGTCGACCAGCATTTGACAGTGAAGCTCCTCCAGATGTTGTGGAGAGAGTTGGAGGAAGACTGAAGCACAGACAAGTGACGCTCATCAACAGTCCTCAGCTGCTCCACACACACATCTCAGATGATCAGATCACACAGACGGTCAGAGAGTGTGTGAGTCTGTCTGATCCAGGACCTCATGTGGTGGTTCTGCTCCTCCAACATCAGCAGTGTTCAGCAGAAGATCAAGAGCGTGTGGAGAAGCTGCAGGACTCTTTCTCTGAGCGCCTTCTTCAACACACCCTGGTGCTCAGCACACAAGAGCCCACTGAACCCAATCAGATCCTGCAGAAGATCATCCAGAAGTGCTCCAACAGACACTTCAGTCTTCAGACAAGCAGCTCTGCTGATCATCTTCTGCAGGCCTTTGAGGACATCGAGCGGAGCAATGAGGGACGACACCTGATTACTGCTCAATATGAAGCTTATAAGTATTTCTCAGTGGAACAACAGGCCACACAACGAGGTTAGTGTGAGATTATCTGATGTTTCTAGTGATATTTACACTGTTTAATCTTCTTTTTCTCTTTCAGACTGTGAGAGGCTGAATGTGTTGGTGTGTGGAAGCGACGGCTCACTGAAATCCTCCATCTCAGAGCTGATCCTGCAACACACACACAGAAGATCAGAGAGTGTGAGCGCAGACGTGGATCTTCATGGTCGTCTGATCAATGTGCTGGAGCTTCCAGCTCTGTTCAACACTGGGCTCTCAGAGGAGGAAGTGATGCGTCAGACTCTCCGCTGTGTGTCTCGCTGTCATCCTGGAGTTCATGCTTTCCTCCTCATTATTCCTGACGCTCCACTCAATAATGAAGACAGAGTAGAAATGGAGGAGATCCAGAAGATCTTCAGCTCCAGAATCAACAAACACATCATGATCCTCATCATGCAGAATTCAGAGCATCAGACAGCAGAACTCAATGAAGAAACACAGACTGCCATTCAGAGTTTTGGAGGAAGATATCAGTACTTTAATCCTGAAACACAAGAGTCCACATTGATGGAGAACATCGAGAAGATTCTGGAAGAAAACAGAGGAGGCTTTTACTCCACAGAGACATTTCTGGAGGCGCAGATGAAAAAACTAATGAAATATGAAGAGAAGGAGAAGAAACTTCACTCACAACAGACCCCCTTAAAATCAAAAGGTAGTGAGCAAAAAAGAAAAAGATAAATTTACGTATTTTTGTAATGGAGTAGTTGAATATTATTTTTATCCAATACATCATATTACTTTATATTAAAAATATTCTAAAATATGTTTGTGGTAGTTTTTGTGTTTTGTATAGTAGAAGTGAAATTCAGAACAACATTCTACATTCAATAGTTAAATTGGGCAAATCAAAGGTCAAGTTTCAGATTTAAAGAGAAAACATTATTGCAAAAATACAATTTTGGCCATTTACATAACTACTCCAAATTTTTTGTTCCAGTGGGAGAATCTTACTGCAATTTTATGAACATTTTTTTAAGTATACACTTTGCTAGAAATATATTTAGATTTAATTCAAAAATAAAGAGAATTTTTCTAACTTCATATGAAACACCACACACATGTTTTAAAGCCCTCATGGTTTAAAACTGGTGCATTTATATCTTTTACAGGTTCAGCAGAGAGTGAAGATGAACTGAGGATTGTCATTCTGGGGAAAACTGGAGTTGGTAAAAGTTCAACAGGAAACACAATCTTAGGAAGAGATGTATTTAAAGCAGGCGAATCCCAAGAATCTGTTACTGAAGAGAGTCAGAGAGAATCATCTGAAATCAATGGCAGACGCATCACTGTGATCGACACTCCAGGACTGTTTGATACTGAACTCAGTAATAAGGAGATCCAGAGAGAAATCAGACGCTGCATCTCCATGATTCTGCCTGGACCACATGTGTTCATCATCGTGCTCAGTATAGGACAGAGATTCACTAAAGAAGAGGCAAAATCTGTAAAGTTTATCCAGGAGACGTTTGGTGAACACTCTCTAATGTTTACTATGGTGCTCTTCACTAGAGGAGATGAGCTAGGGAATAAAACACTTGAAGAGTGTTTGGGAAAACCAGGATCAGTGGTCAGAACACTGCTTGAAACTTGTGGAAACAGATTCCATGTGTTCAACAACAATCAGCCTGAAGACCGAACACAAGTGTCTGATCTACTGGAGAAGATAGACATCATGGTGAAGGCAAACGGAGGAAGCTTCTACTCATTTAAAATGTTCAGAGAGATGGAGAGAGAAAATCAAGAACAGCAGATGAAGATCCTGAAGAACAGAGTCAGAGAAACAGAAGAAAAGATGAAGAATCTAGAAGAAGAGAAGGACAGAATGAAGATGTTGATGGAGGAAGAACAACAAAAGCAGCAAGAATCATTGGAGAAATTTAAACAAGAGAAGGACAGAATGAAAAAAGAAAAAGAAGACCTTCAGTTTAAACATGAGGAAGAAAAAAACAAGATGAAGATCCAGATTGAGCAAATGAACAGAGAAAGAGAAGAACTTATGAAGAAACATGAAGAAGAGAAAATGAAGATGATGGAAGAACGACAGAATCTGGAGAAAGAGAGAAAGGAAAGAGAAGAACTGAAAAAAGAAATAAGCAAACAAGAGGAACATCAGAGAGAGACAATAGAAGATATGAAGAGAGAACGAGAGACAATTAGACAAAATATAGAGGAAATGAGGAAAGAAAGAGAAAAACTTCAGATCCAACATAAGACAGAAACAGACAGACTGATGAAGAGAATGGAGGATGAAGAAAAGAATCATAAATTAGAGAGAAAGAGAAGAGAAGAAGAGTTGAATGAGAGAGAAGAACAACATAAGGAAGAAATGAAAGAGATAGAAAGAATGAAAAAAGAGAAAGAAGATCTTCAGTCTAAACATGAGAAAGACAAAAACAAGATGAAGATCCAGATTGAACAAATGAATAAAGAAAGAGAAGAACTGATGAAGAAACATGAAGTAGAGAAAGAGAGAATGAAGATGATGATGAAGGAGGAACGACAGAAACAGGAGAAAGAGAAGAAGAGCAGAGAAGAAGAACTGATGAAGAAACATGAAGAAGAGAAAGAGAGAATGAAGATGATGATGGAGGAGGAACGACAGAAACAGGAGAAAGAGAAGAAGAGGAGAGAAGAAGAACTGATGAAGAATCATGAACAAGAGAAAGAAAGAATGAAGATGATGATGGAGGAGGAACGACAGAATCAGGAGAAAGAGAAGAAAAGAGCAGAACTGATGAAGAAACATGAAGAGAAAGAGAGAATGAAGATTATGGTGGAGGAGGAACGACAGAAACAGGAGAATGAACGAAAGAAAAGAGAAGAGGAGTTTAAAGAAAGAGAGAACCAAAATAAAATACAGATGAAAAGAAAACAAGAGGAATGGGAGAAACAGAAACAAGATGAAGAGAAGGGAAGAGAAGAAAACAAGCAGATTTCAGATAAACACATTCAGAAACCCCAGAGTGAAATGGAGGGAATAATCAAAGAGAAAGAGAGAAAGGAAAGAGAGAGACAAAAACAACTAGAGGATTCAGAGAACAGACTGGAAGAAGAAAAGATGAGAGATGATCAACAAACGAGTTTTAAAGAGAAACTGAAACTGCTTGAAAAACAACATGAAGAAGAACGAGCGGAGTGGAGAAGGGAATATGACAGAGAGAAAGAGAAGATGATGAGGAAAATACAGTCTGAAACTGATGATTCACTACAGGTGAGTGTTACTGTAAGCTTTCATCTTTCAGGGCTCGACAGTGCGACCATTCCTCTCGCATTTGTTGTCACTTAATCATTGTTGTTCAGTCGTGTCTAGCCACTTGTGGTATTGACCTGCCACCTTGTCGGCATTTAAAGTCCTGCATTCAGGTTAGTTGTACTTTCATTTTCTCTCAGTGTGCAGTCGAGAGTAACACACATGCATTTTATTTCAGTGGCTGATTTAAACGTTGATATTTGTGTGTAAGTGCTCTATTTTTACTAAAGCTCTATATATGTAAATATTCAAGGGTCATTTGATTATCATCATTTTTATACCACTTGTATTTTGTTGTACAACAAATATGAAAAATTTGCTAATATTCGATTTAAATGGTCTCATTTAATAGATTTTCCTCATCTGCATATTGAAATTTGCATAAAAAAGTATGCACATTAGTAAAATTGTACTGCTAGTTGAATTGAACATGTTAAAGTAAATGTGAATATGTACATACTTTCCCCCTTTTTGTTGTAGTTTTACAAAAAAAGATATTGAGAAGAACAACCGGCAGCCACTTAAGTTACAAGTTCAGTTTAAACTCCCCCTTCAATATGCACAACAAGAAAACAAAAAGCTGCAGTTTAGACTGCATATAGTCTGTGGAAGAATGATTGAGTGTATGTCTAATGCTCGCCCATACACACAACTACCACAGATATATTTCAGGAGCTGATGTGTGACACAATAAACATGCTGATTTGCATTATAACTGGTGACAGGCAATGCTTGAAATATGAACCTCATTTCTGGTGTCCTAAGATGCATCAATTATGTCAGCTTTACATTTTTTCATGTGCTTGAATGTTAAAAGGTCCCTCCTATGAATTGCCAGTCACTGAAATGGCCCCCCGCCAATTTGAGTTTGAGACCCCTGCTTTAAAAAAAAAAGGACGGTATTACTTTGGTGCAGACGGAAACTTTAATTAGATTTAACTTAGAGGCATTGCCATATTCAGAGGCTTTGCAGCTATTGACAAAGAAAGTTTATCAGTAAGATAAAGTGCTCTGATAAACAGTGTCAGCTTTGCTCATAAGTGTGTCATGTGCGTCTTTCTTTACATTGTCTTACTTTTCCTATGTGGAAAAAAAATGTAAAGACCTAAAGGCTCTTTTACACATTTCTTACTAGTTTATTTGTGTTGAATCCTAAAAGGTTGCAGCCTACAGGAAACTGGAGACCAAATACAGCGAGTGGTCCTGGAGTCTCCACAATGCCATGATGGAAATTGAGAACAAACTACACAACCAAATAGAAAATGAAGCAATTCAAGAGGTTGAGGAAACTGATCTTGACAGAGAACTGAAGACGACCAGTGAAGAAGTGGAAAAATCCATGTCAGAGTTCTTTGAGAAAGACACAGATAAATATTTACTGATTCAGTGGAAAACTTTGTTTAAAACTAAAATCAAGAAGCTTCAGGAGAACATTGTCAGAGAAGCAAAAAGGAAATTAAATGAGGTTCTTCAGCACCATGACATAAATAGAAAGATCGATGCTCAGAGGACACATCATAAAAACACTCTCTATGAAAAGTGCAAAGTAGCTGACAAAGATAAAACAAATGATAAAAAAACAGTGAAGAAATTTTTTTATTCAGTTTGGGAGCAGAGTATGGAGGAGATCACCAGAGACACTTCTGCAATCATAGAGATCGACATAATGAGAGATGTAAGAAAGACCCTCAGTGACATCTATGAAAGTGCTCCTGTAGACCAATGGGAGGACAGCAGGGATATTTTCAATGTAAAAACTTATTCACATTATGTATGGCTGAAAAGAAACTACAGGCGCAGTGATCTACTGCAATTTACAATGGAGTGGTTTGGCTACATTCTGTCTAAAGCAGATGAAGCCCAGATCAGATCATTCGTCTCAGATGTTGCTCATCAGACAGACAGAATGATTCAGTCATTTAACATTACAAAGATGGGCTACAACATCAGCCTCATTCAACAACTCATATATTACATCAACACAAGAGAAACAGAACATGAGGAAGGAGCCGTGAAATATGTGTTCAAGGATGAGTTCTTCATTGATTTGGTTTATTCAATCTGTAAAAGAGCAAACAAGATGATCACTGACCAACACAGACTCTTCAGAGAAGATAATGATCCTGAAATATACTTAAAGAAGAAGAGAGAAGAGTACTATAGTATTTTCCACAATTACTGTCATGGAGCAAAACCAGCTGCTATTTTTGCTGAGATCATCTGTCAGAAACTGAAGGAGCCCATTGAGCAGAGCGTCTACAAGAAAACTGCCAGAGATTTAGCAGATGAAATGAAAACAGACTGTGAATCACTGAGTGGAAACAGATCAAAGCTGGAGAAACACATCCTGAAGACACTGGCAAAAAAGGAGGACTTTGACAAATACATGAACTACATTGAACATCCCCGAGATCACTTCAAGAGTTTCATCAGAGATGAAGTCAGTCGCTACATCAGAGATAAGTTCAGAGTCAGGGTTTTACCCAAGATGAAGGAGAACATTAAACTCCTGCAGCAGAAGATCATGAACGCAGCACATCAATCTACTGAACATGTTCAAGTCAACAGTGGAGATGTTGGTTTGTGGTTGAAGAGTTTCACACAGCAGCTCTCAGATCAGCTGATCTTCTCTGAAAAAGACCTCAGTGGAGTCAAACATGATGATGTTGATGATTTCAGACTCCTAGAAGATGTGATCAGACAAGAGCTTCCTGCTGTAATGTCAGACATCAGCAGCAGATTCAACACAGACACATTTCCAGTAAAGCTGGACTATAAGTTCAGACCAGATGAGCTTCTGATTGATCACTTCTGTCAGTGCTGTTGGGTTCAGTGTCCATTCTGTGGAGTTATCTGTACAAACACCAGAGAAAACCATGATGGAGATCACAGTGCTCCTTTCCACCGTGTAATTGGACTAAATGGACAGTTTTGTGCAGGAACAAAAAACTTGTCTATAAACATCTGCACATCAGCAGTAGCCAGTGATCAATCTTTTAATCCCACTGCATCAACTAAATCAGTCCCCTGGAGAGATTACAGAAGAGCTGGAGGAGTTTATGCAGACTGGAGCATCACTCCTGATCTCCCTGAACTGCCCTACTGGAAGTGGTTTGTGTGCAGATTCCAGAAAGATCTGGAAAAATACTACAGTAAAACATTTGAGAAGAAAGGTAATATACCAGCTGAATGGAGAAATTACACAAAACAAGATGCTGTTAAAAGTTTGCAATAACACATCTATTGGAGGAGATGAAAAATGAGAAACTAAATCAGTTATTACCTGTATACATTGATCAATGAGAGTCTGAATTCAGCTACAGCTTGGATTAGTTGTATCAAATACACTGAACTCTAAAGACAATATTCAATTCTTTTTAAAAGTGACTAACTGGTGTAACTACATGTATGATGACCAATCAAACAAGTTTATCATAATGACTGTCATTTATTATTTGTTTTCTAGTTGTGTATATTGTCTTGTGTGTGTGTGTATCAAGTGTAATGTACGGGCTGTAGCTGAAGAGCAGCTTAAGAATGAAGAACATTCTTAAAGAGCCCATATTATGAGGTTTTTGAAAATGCCCTTCCATGTAGTGTGTAACACAGTTCTAAGTGAAGTGAAGTATCCAGCTAAGGCTTAAATCTGTTAGTGTACAGTGTTTAAAACTGTTGGTTCATTTATAAAAGAGTCGACTCATATTGCTTCAAACGAGTTGTCTTGATTATGAGTCATTATGCATTTCGCCATGACGTGACAACGAAACTAAGTTATTCATGTGCATGCGCAAACCCGGGAGATTTGAAACCTGCGGCCCCGCCCACTGACACAGAAACCCACACACACACACAAACACACACACACAAACATGCCGGTCGATTGAAGTCACACTGCAGATAGATATTATTGAGTCTCTACCCAAAGATGAAACCTCAGCATTATAATCCAACCCTAAGCAGTTGGAAACTACTGGAAAACCTCTGGAAATTACATTCTACGAAGAATAGCCTACTTCATTGCCCGTTTGTTAAAGGAAGGATCAGTAAAGAGAACTGATGGACTATGTCAGGACATGGATGGGTTTCTTCCTCCATTTCACAAGTGTAAGTACGTGCGATTAAAGTTATGGCCTCGTTTACTCTAGCTTGCAAATGTATTTAGTTGTGATTTGTTACTTGTAACCGCTTGTACTGTATGAGGTTAACTCGCTATTTGCTCATATCGCGTTCAAAGCCACGTTGAAAACGCGACGCGTGTAGCTTTGTTTACGTTTCATGAAGGAGGGTAATGTCTGTGTGTGTGCGCAGGCGCATTGTCGTTCGGAGGAGGGTTATGTGTGTGTGTGTGTGTGTGAGGACGAGAACAATATGTGTGTGTGTGAGCGTGTGTGTGTGTGAAAAGAGCAGAATGTGACAAGCTAGGAGATCTCCTTGCCAGTTCTTGGGAGTTTTTGATCAATAAAAAAGTTAGTCGTCGGTATTTTCAAGTCCATCGCCTGTATTTAATTTCATCCACTGGCAGCTGAAATCCCCGCCTTACACTATCGAGCATGTATGCACTCTGACTACTTCTATATTGTTGATTAGCTGCTGTGCATTTCACTCTGTCTCTTGCTGAAGGCAGTCAGTGTCGACCAATCGCAACAGACTGTCATCGCTCCAATCAGCGCAGATTAGCTTTGCGCTAAGGAGGGGTTTGAGAACAAATGAATCACTGGACGATTCATATGGTAGTCGCTGGGATCATTAGATAAAAATAAGTGAAGTTTATTCATAAACTAATTTCGAGAGGATCACGTGCTTATGATTTATCAAGGCCGGTCTCGCATTTGCTAATCACTATCTTACAATCATATGAGCCCTAAGCTACTATAAATAGCCACAGTTTTCAGTTCACTTTATCTTCGTTTGGAAGAAACCCACCTCCTCCCCTTTTCTCCTCCTTTACCTCTGATTGGCCGGCACGGCGGCCCAGTGGTTAGCACTGTGAGCCCCACAGCAAGAACACTGCCAGCCCTGGTTCCACAGGACCGGTGGGTGTTTCTGTGAGGAGTTTGTATGTTTTCCCTGGGTCCACGTGGGTTTTCCCCGGGTTCTCCGGTTTCCTCCTACAATCCAAAGACATTTAACATACATAAGAATCAAGTTTTGTCTAATCCCTTGTGTTCCCTTAGCTACCGCAGCAGGGGAGTTCTGAGATCCACCGAGCTCAGGCTACCCTCTTGCTCTGCCAACGGGAGGAAGCCCCAGGCTCGAGGAGCCCTTAAGCTCGGGGCTCTCTCCCGGAACAGCATGCCAAACAAACTTTTATAAATCATCAGCTAAGTGTGAACTCTTGAAATGCAGATTACAAGACCATGAAAGCGTTTTTTGACCTTGCATGCATATTAGACTGTTGTTGGAGACCCTTACAACCAAAATATGACCCTATTTTATGTATAATATGGGCTCTTTAAGTACCATATTTCTTACTCGCTTGTAGTTGATGTCCTTCGGCTACAGAAAGTCTGGAGACAAAGGTTGCTGTGCAAGACACCGTGTTTAACCCGGGATGTGTAGTGGATGCTGGGGACCCATTGCTGCTGTATAATCTATATTTCAGATGGTTGGTGATAAGGGAGAAACCTCCATTGTGGACATTTGTGCAACCCAAGACATTCCAAAGGAAAATCTCCACCTTTTCCAACACACAAACACACACACATTCTTGAAAATAACTATTAGAACTCACTCCAAATAATATGTAATGTGTGTTTGTAATCTATATGCTCTGCCCTCTAGCGAAAGTAGTTAAAATGATATATGTACACACTAATGCAGTCTTTTTTGAGTCTTATATAGTATAAAAATGCCTAGATGCTATCTAATGTGTGCTTAGAGTGTCATGTTTAGTATCATTAAATTTCTTCTGCTATTTACAACACATGATGCTGAGTGCATGATAATAACTTATACGGCTTGCATCCTTTAATGCTCAGAATAAATGTCTCTTCGTAAGTTTCAGGAGGACCCTCATTAAGCATATCAGCGGTCCACAGACAAAGAAAATCTCTCAAAACTTTGCCATAAAACCATTGGTCAGTCAGTAGAAAATGGGTGACTTTACCCATAGTTAAAACCCAGTTTGTCCCTAGAATCAGGGTAGAAAGGTCCCGAAAAGAAGCTCTCCAGAAGTGCCCCTGAGGGGCAGACCACATTTCTGTACCCACGTGACTCGCCTGAGTTCACGTATCCAAATTTTCCACCAAATTAAACTCAGTTTAATGTTTGCGTCTCGCGTATCCCCCGATCTGTGTTGCAAACTCCACGCATCAAGAAAGGACTTCATAAAGAACTCCATCTTCTAAGCATCAGAGAAACTTGCACAATGAGAGAAAGAGAGCAACATGTATTTAATCGTGCGTTAAAGCTGTGCCCCTTATCAAAAAGGGTTTTTTTTATAATCATGGTGGTCCTGAATAGCTGTGTGGAACTATGCTAGATTTGCCATTCTTTTTTTCTTAACTCTTTATTTCCTCGCTTGCTTACTTCTCTATGTTTAGTTAGTCAAGTCAAGTCAACTTTATAGTCAAGTCAACTTTATTGTCAATCAAATCATGCAACATTATATTACACAGCAGACTGAAATTGCGTTTCTCCCATACTCTAATGTGCAATTTAAAACAAAAATATGACACACACTAGACATAAACTAAACATTTAACTAATGTAGTACAAGAGAAATTGAATAAATAGACAATAATAAACCGTGAACAATTACCAGATATTCTATTGTTCCAGAATATGACCAAGTTGAGGTATTTATTGTAGTGCAATTAGGTGCAGTATGGCAAAAGGTTGGTGTACCTCATCTCTGTAGGCTGAGTCGTCGTCGTTGCTGATGAGGCCCACAACTGTCGTGTCATCTGCAAATTTGATGATGTGATTTGAGTTGTATCTGGCACAACAGTCATGAGTCATCAGTGTGAACAGCAGAGGACTTAACACACATCCTTGAGGGACTCCAGTGTTCATGATGATGGTCTGTGAGGAGTTTTCACTGACTCTTACTGTCTGTGGTCTGTTGGTGAGAAAATCTAATAACCAGTTGCACAGTGGGGTGCTGATGCCTACAGCTCTGAGTTTTCCCACCAGGTGTTGTGGAATGACTGTATTAAAGGCAGAGCTGAAGTCAATAAACAGCATCCGCACACAGCTGTTTTTGTTTTCCAGATGAGCCAGACTGAGGTGAAGTGCTGTTGCTATGGCGTCATCAGTGGAAAGCTTGGAGCGATAAGCAAACTGGAAAGGGTCAAATGTGACAGGTAGGCTAGATGTTATGTGAGCCTTAACCAGCCTTTCAAAGCACTTCATTATGATGGACGTAAGTGCTATAGGCCGGTAGTCGTTCAGTGTTGTGACTGGTTATTTCTTAGGTAGCGGGATGATATTAGTAGCTTTGAATAGGGTTGGGCATCTAAGCTATAATGCGGATCCGATACGCATCTCGATACAAAGAATACGATCTGATATATTAGCAATACATTTGTGACATTGCGATGCAACACGATACGATTCACACCCATATCACGATACAATTCGATAATTCAGCACTAACTTATTAGATCAGGTTTATGAGATGATGTAAGAAAGGATGCTGTGCCATTGAATGAGTTTGATTATTTATTAACCAAGCAAAACCAACTTTTTTTACAAACTGGCTTTTCTCTCAGAGCCAGAGTGTCAGTTTACAGTAGAGGGCCATTTTAGAACCTATAGCACATATTATTTAAGTATTTTCAAGATAAACAGAATGTATAAGTGCAATATATATTATAAATGTATATATTTGCACTCTTTCAACATAAAGGTTTAGCATTGCACAACAAGAATTGTGATTTAACTTTTCAACTATGAAAACAAGTTTTACAAAGATATTTTGCCACTGATTATTCAAAACTTAAGGTGGTGAACTAGCAGTGTTATGCTGCTTTGAAACATCACTGTCACTGTAAACAACAGGCTAATAAAAATATAAATAAATAAAAATTAACAGGAGGTGTTTAAAACCTTCGTTCTCCGTGACACTAGGCTGAATATCTTTGCAGATGAACAGTGCAATAGCATTCGTTATTGGCGTAGAGCGAGCAGAACTGTTGTGCATGGAGAAAACTTTCAATGCTTTTCTCACCACTTTTGGAGCTGGTAGCTACAGTTGAAGCAGAGCAGGAAGCCGGGGATGCAGGAACACTGGAAGATGCTTCCACAACAACACCGAGGCGCCGCTTTAAGTGAGATTTCAGATTAGTCGTACTGCCCGTGTATTTTACAGATGCGCGGCACATTTTGCAAATTGCATCTGTCCTGTCAAGTTGTCCATCCTTTTTGCAGAATCCATAATGTTTCCCAGATCTTCCTCCACTCTTAATTCATACTCAAAGGCAATTGTAAATGTCTAGTTTCCCCACTTCAGTGAGGGGAACAATGTTTGTTCTTATTTTTCTCTGATGCTCGGATTAAGATATTGTTCTGTAATATACTGTGACGCTGTTGACAGGAGCATTAAGCACAAGATTTGGGATGCAACCTGTGTGAGCCTTGATTGATTTTTCTGCTGCTACACGAGTCAGGCGAGTTCTGCTGTATTGTTTTTTTTTTAACTCAACGTGTTGCACGTCTTTCACATATATATACAATAAGCATGTTTAAGTAATATGAATCGTTCACATATCTTTTGTGAGTTCACTTTCTGAGATGTGGAACGCAGGAAAAGCTGCCTATAGAGAGACAACCAATCGCTGGTGGTGTGTGTGTGTATGTGTGTGTGTTTACAGCAGTTTGACTGATAAAT